ATTTTACATTCGACTTTGAACCAAAGATAATTCAATTAATCTTCCTATGGACTATCATCGTGATTTAAAACGATTGAAATCACATTTAAATACTTAATATTTATGTGTAAAAATTATTTGAATGGCATTAAAAAATTGAAATCATACGGAATCACACGGTTTCAGCATTGTTAACAATCACAAAATGTGATTTAGAAGCAATTCAAGTGCGATTTTAATTTTGAATCAGAAAATTTTTTTGTTCATAACAAACAAGTTAAGGTGTTCTACAAGGAAATAATATTACTTTTTAATGACTAAACCTAGATTTGTTACTCTTATTGTTGTGACGTATACGCTGCTGCGGGGTTCTGCCGATGCAGAATAACGAGGCGGAATTTGCAACCTCGACCAGGCCTGTGTTGCCCGGGTACCCTCGGTGACACCTCCAATAATCTTTATACACGGGTCTCGCTCTCCGAGACACGACTGGGGCCAAGTATCGTGGCTTCAGGGGTCGTCGCTTCTCGCGACGCCTTTAACACGGCACAAAGGGGATCGGATATGTAATGTTTCTGAAGGAGACGAAAGGAGAAAGGCCAACACAAGATGATGGATATGCTGGAACACAGACTTTATTATAGCACTCAGATTACAATTAAAGAGAGACGGCGGAACACACTTGAGATGTTTTCACGTGAGGCACTTAACGCGATCTGACCTGGACGCCTCGTTACATCGATAGATGACTGCTGAGCTGTTCGACTTAACTACTACATATATGTCGACAGGTGGCGCTCGCATTACGTACACGACGCTATTACATATTGCACAATCCTCCCTCACTAGTCTTGAATTACCGTAAAACAAAACCAACTACAATAATTATATATTAAGGCGCTGAGGCGCTTTTCGAACGCGCGTGGAGCGTCGCAGTTCCTCAACGGCCGGCTTTACAATTTTAGCAGCAGTGTCAACTTGTCTAGCCGTTTGTATGGACGACGCGACATTAGCACAATTATTTTTGAATGCCGGTTGTTTGTAAATAGTAGCATTAGCTTCCTGTGCTTCGTTTTCCATGTTTGGGTTAATACTAACGGTGTCGCTCGTTGTCGCAGGCATTACATTATCATGACAGTGGTGTGGAAAAGGTAACTGAATTTTTTCTTCGCATGTTCTTATTTGGTCAACGTGCCTTTTCCACATCTTATTATTATCAGCGCGGACATTATAAGTGACGGGGCCTAACTTATCTATAACTTGTGCTTTCCGCCACTGATTAATACTAAAATCTTTTGCCATTACTGTATCGCCTATATTAAATTGCATATTTATATTTCCATTAAAGTACAACTTTTGTTTTTCTTGATTTTTAATAACATTTTCTCGCTCTGATGCATCAATAGCACTTAATCTAGTTCTAAGTTTGCGCTCTAATTGCAATTCCGTCGGGGAGCAACCAGTCGTACAGTGCGGCGCAGAACGGTATACAAACAAATACCTTACTAACGCTTCGTGCCGAATCATCTCTTTGGTCAACAACTTGAATTTGCTTTTAAAAATTTTGACAGCGTTCTCTGCCGCACCGTTTGACGCAGGGTGATAAGGGGCCGTGTTAAAATGTTTGATATTGTTTTTCTTTAAGAATGCCTGGAATTCGGTGGCTGTAAACGTCGGCCCGTTATCACTTACAATGGCAATCGGTAGCCCCCATGTACTGATGTACTCTTTTAAGACTTTAATTGTAGAGGATGCTGTAATGTTATTCATTTCACGTATGTCTATCCACTTAGAGTACGCATCAGTTATAATCAAATACATATGCCCGTCAATAGGTCCGCAAAAATCAACGTGTACTCTTTCATTCGGCGCCTCGGGCCACTTCCAAGTATGTAAGATCGAGCGTGGTGGGTTAGTACCATATTGCAAGCATAGTTCACACGATTTTGCCGTGTTTTCGATCATTTTATCTATTCCCGGCCACCATACAAAAGACCTGGCCTGAGCCTTCATTTTCACTATGCCCATATGGGCACTATGTAACTCGCCCAACACGCTCTCGATCACAGTAGTCGGAATGACAATTCGATGGCCCCAGAAAATGCAGTCATTTTCAAGAGTTAGCTCTAATTGTCTATTTTTATATGGTTGTAGTTTTTCTTCAACATTTAACGGCCAGCCTTCTATTAAAAAGTTTCGCACTTTAATCAAAACAGGATCTTTTAGGGTTTCTTGCCGAATTATATTAACATCAATCAAATTAGATTCTTCTGAAACAAAATTTAAAAAACTGTAATCTTCACGTTCTGCGTTATTAGGATCGGCCTTGAAATTATCAATCAACATTCGCGACAACGCGTCAGCTGGCCCGTTTTCCGTACCCTTAATGTGTCGAATTTCGAAATCATACCCTGATAAAATAACGGCCCAGCGTTGAACCCGACTCGCTGCCATTTGTGGTATACCCTTCTTTTTCCCGAAGATATACGTCAGTGGTTTATGGTCCGTTTCAAGGATAAACGGTCGGCCATAAACGTATTGGTGAAATGCTTTTACACCGAACACTAAGGCTAAGGCTTCTCTATCCAATTGAGAGTAATTTTTTTCAGCGCTGTTTAGTACCCTTGAGGCAAAAGCCACAGGTTTAATTTCGCCTGATGGAAAGATGTGGGATAGTACGGCACCGAGGCCTTTAGGCGAGGCATCACACGTGATTCTAATCGGTACATCCGATTCGTAGTGTACTAACACTTCATGAGACGTTAATTTTTATTTTGCCTCTTCAAATGCCATTTCGCGCTCAGTTGTCCACTGCCATTCCACATCTTTTTTTAACAACTCATACAGGGGAACATTATTTGAGCATAATTTTTAATAAATCTACTATAATAATTACATGCCCCTAGGAACGATTGCAACTCTTTGATGTTAGTCAGGGTTTTCATATTAATAATCGCATCTATTTTACTTTGAGCCACATGTAAGCCGTGTTCATCTAATTCATATCCCAAAAACTGAATACATTTTTGTGCAATTTTACACTTACTCGGTTTCACGGTCAAGCCTTTTTGCTCAAAACGCTTTAAAACTTCAAATAGACGCTCATCATGCTCTTCTCGCGATTTTTCCGATATCAGAACGTCATCAAAATACGTTTCCACCCCGGGAATTCCGTTTACTATTTTTTCCATCTCTCTTTGGAAAAGTCCCGGTGCCGATGCTATGCCATAACTCAGTCTATTATACTTGTATAAGCCCTTGTGTGTAGTTATGGTTGTTAAGTTTTTTGACTCTTCGTCTAGCTCGATTTGTTGGTAAGCATGTGCTAAATCTAATTTCGAAAATAATTTTCCACCTTCAAGGTTTGCCAACAAATCAGCTACACGAGGAATAGGGTGTCTGTCCACGATTAAATGCGGATTTAATGAGATTTTGTAATCTCTGCACAGTCTAATTTGCCTATTTGTTTTTAGAACAGGTACGACTGGCGTGGCCCATTCGCTGCTTTTTACCGGTTCAATTATTTTATCCTTTTCTAACCTCGCTATCTCTTGTTCTAATTTACTGCGTAGCGTGAATGGCACGGCTCTTACTTTACAAAAAACAGGATTCGTATCTGGCTTTACATGCAAAGAAAATTTTCCGCCCGTATATAA